GGATACATTAGCATGGGATAACATCATAGGATTTCGATCCTATTGTGTTGGCCTTCGGGATCGGAGTAATGATTAACAGGGACAGTCGGGGGCATATATAAAAGATTATAAGAGGAAGCAAAATCAGACGGATGACTAACGTCAGGCGTGGCAAATCAAACGGCTGTCATGTGGGCCCAGCCTCACGCTAGTCCTACCTGGCATACAATCACGTGGGACCCACTATGCACATCGTACAATAAATCACGCCACTACTACGTCACCACGTCAGCATCCGTCCAAATATTGTCCCACACATCGAGTGTTCGGTCCCACAACTCACCGGCCAATACCTGTCGCTACTCTTTTTACCTGTCCACGTAGGATTGAATTAACCGCGTCAGCAAAATGTAAAAAAGAAAAGGAAAGTGAAAATAAAACAAACCTTAAAACGCTAAATATTCCCTCTTCTTTTTTTTTCAAAACATCACTTTAAACTCTAATAGTGAAAATTGCACTTTTTTCCGGACAATAATGAATATCCCCTTAAATCACTAAACATAATTCCGAAATTAGTTAAATTGTAAAAGAATAATCATTGTACATAACCTTCTTATTTCGTTTATAAATCTTTGTTTGCACGTTACTTTCCAATTTAGAGGTTAATATACTGTTAGATTCACTGATATAAAAGTTCTAAAAATAAATAAAATTCAAAAAATTATTAGTCAAGTGGAATATATTCCTAATACTAAGTTGCGTCTTGAAGTATAGAGCAATATACAATACATGCATACATATAATAGACAAATATCATTTCACATAAGAAAGTGATTTTGAAAAAAAAAATAGTAAAATTAAAAATAATCGAATAATTTTGACAGTTTTTTCTTGTATTTTATGTTTGCTTTCATCTCGTGCAGTCCCGGAAAAAAAAAAAAGAAAATGAATGTAGTCTTTGCTATTTATACTCTATACATTGCATGTGATTTCCTATCTTCTCAAAGTATAAAGCAAATAATGAAATGAAAGATTGATGAAGCTCCATGCTCACCAAATGCAAAATTCCAAATGCTAAAGTTTAAAATATCACGTAATTTTGTTATTTGCTGCCATTCACGGACTTAGTAATTATGTAAAAAATGTTATGAAATGTCTAAATGAAATGCAAATTGTACTCCATATATCATATGGAACATACGTATGGAACTGCATAATACTAAAATAAACGATCATTTATATAATTAAGGTTATAATAGAAGGATAAAAAAAAGATTGTTAAATCTTATTCATCGATCTTACTTATATTTTATTTATAAAAAGTACGAATAAATCCTAGAGTTTGTATCCATAATATTCTAAAGACTCAAATAATGATATTCTAATCTCCAACTTTATAAGTTTGTATTTATAATATTCTAATATTTCAAATAATAATTTAGTTAACAATTTACATAAAACCAAAAGAGAAATAGAGATAAACAATTTACAACTAGACGAATAATGATAAGTCGGTGATGTCCATAGGTCATTGGCATGAGGTGTCAAATAGTACATCAACTTTAAAATATATAAAAAAAAGATTCTTTCAAGAGGGCAATTATAAATTTATAATAAAGAATTTTATATAAGAAAAGCAAATAATAATGCATTTGCTTATCCTATAAATAGCTCCCTTATTGATCAAATCTCTTCAAAGCACACGCCTTCTCATCATCTGCCTGAAATCTCCACTCTCCTCTCCTTTTATTCCATCTCCTCCCCCAAATGGCCACCGTCGAGGTACTAAGCCAAAAACATCAATCCGTTTCATTTAACTCATGTTCGACTACTTGCCGTTTTATTTGATTCACGATGGCAAGACGTTTTGTTTTCTAAAGTTTTGTTGATCGAAGCATGATCGTGTTTTTTTTTTTTTTTTTTTTTTTGCAGGTTGAGCAAGTGATTCAAACAACGGCAGAGACCGTGGTGACGCAAAAGGTCGAGGAGAAACCGGCACCGGCTGAGCCTGAGGTGACTCAGAAACCGGAGGAGACCGCCGCCGCGACGGAGGTGGCGCCGGAAGTTCCGGCAGCCGCGCCGGAGACGGAACCAGAAGCTCCGGTGGAAGAAACGACGAAAGAAGTTGTCGTGGAAGAGTCTAAGGAAACAGAGGAAACGGAGAAACCAGCTGAGGAAACAGAAGAGAAGAAAACAGAAGAGGAGGTGACGACTGAGGAGGCTAAGGAAGAAGAAGAAGAAGAGACGAAAACGGAGGAAGCAGCTCCGGCGGAAACTCCGGCGGTGGAGGAGGCGGAGGAGAAGCCGGTGGCGGCAGAGGAGGAGGAGAAGCCCGCCGAGGAATCCTCCGCCTCCGCCGAAGCGGCCGTGGGGAAGGCTGGGCCAGTAAGGGTTTCATGTTATGCAGTAATATTACAGTACTACGTACTGCGATTCTTGCATGGCTTGCTGTCTTCATTTTGTGTGTTTTTCTTATATAAGTATTTCATCCTTATGCTATGTTTTCACGTTTTGTTATGATAAAATGAGATGTTTGGATCTCTGCTTTAAATAATTCATGAGTTTTGTGCATTGGTTCATACATGGATTGAGGATCCGATCGATCGAAATAACTAAAAACCAATCATGTAAACTCCGAACCACCATTTTCAGCCGGAGAGCGTTTGCCATTGAAGCGTTTCTCCGGCGAACATGGGGATGATCTCTCCGAAAGAGAAGGAGAAAGCTTCTGGAACCTTCCATGGCGATTTCCGCAGCCTGATCTTGGACGAGTTCCTTGGGAGGCCGTAGAAATCAGGCCCGTTAAAACTCGTGAAAGCCTCAAGCTTCTCAAGGGCACCCGCCTGAATAGGCAAACGCAACACTCCTAAGAACATGAGGAAAAACTCGGAAAAAAAGCTTCTAGTTTGAAGTTTTACCTCTTCAAAGACCTTGGCGTATAAGGGCAAGGAGACGGGAGCGCTGTATATTCCAGCACACCCGCAAGACGACTCTTTCCTTTTCCTCTCGTGTGGAGCGCTATCTGTCCCGAGGAAGAACTTGTTGCTTCCGCTGGTTACAGCTTTAACAATTGCCTCTCCTGTATGATGATAAATGCGCGTAATAATGGCACAGGAAAAAAAAAAAAGAGTCGTGAGAAATGAAATGCTCGATGTTTCAAGGGCCGAGGAAATTGACGTACTATGGATTTCTCGTTTGAGAACCGGAAGGCAGTAGCTGTGAGGCTGTAATCCGCCACGGAAAAGGGCATTTCTGTTGAGAAGGAGATGCTGTGGTGTGACAGTTGCAGCCACGAAACCTTAACCCGAAAAAAAAAAGACAGTATAAAACGAAGCCGAAAGAGAGAACGGAAGATATGAGATATAAAGGGTTTAAGACAAAACCTTCTTTGGAAGATTCGACGAACTTTACAGCATCCATGGTAGTGATGTGTTCCATCACTACCTTCAACGCCGGAAGCCGATGGATCAGAGGCTGTAAAATCATCTCAATGAAGATTTTCTCACGGTCAAAGACATCAACGTCTGGATCCGTGACCTCTCCATGGACCTTACATGGAGTTTCCCCGAGACAAGACAAGAGTCATAACAAAACAAACAGGACAGGAAAGAGATATTAAGAGCAAGCTTGGTGATCATTTACCAGCAATGGCATGTTTTGTTTGACCATCTCCTCGAGAACGGGCAAGCATTTGCCAAAGAGGTCGGTGACTCCGTCTTGAGAGTTGGTGGTGGCTCCAGCAGGATAAAGCTTCACAGCGTAAACTACGCCACTTTTCCCTATGAAATCGTAATGTCAAAGCTCAAAACCGGTTTTCGCTAGTTTATCATATCGAAGAAAGAAGTTTTACAGGTTCTAGCCAATCTATATGTCAATAAAGATCGTTGTGTTTTCTTTCCGTTGTTCAATACAGAAACAGAGTTTGATCCCAGCATCTACTAATCCAAAAACCCACAAGCACAATCTCAACTTCAAAGATGAAAATGCATGTTGTGACATTATGGAGAAACAATTCTCTCTTGCAAAGACGGAGGCTGGGACTTACGGGCAAGCTTGATCTCGCTGGGACTAGTTGTGTCTGTTAGGTACAGCGTCATAAGCGGATCAAAGCTGCTCCCACTAGGAAGGGCTTTCAAGATGGACTCTCGGTAAGCTATGGCAGCTGCGGTTCTGGTCACGGGAGGCTTCAGATTCGGCATCACTATCGCTCTACCGAAAGTACTCGCACTACACACATTTACAAATGAATTTTGATTAGGGCCAACAGGAAACTCGTAAAAATACTGAAATGGAGGATATCATATCGCATATTAGTGCATTACACTAGTGGTGACATACAGAACACGATAAACACCAGTCCATAAACCTGAAAAACTGGTTAAAGCAGAGGAAAGATAGGAAAAGATCACAGGACAACGTGAAAAACATAAATAAGGAGGAATCCACGCAGCTGATTTCAAGAGAAAAAACAAAACATCAACAAGAAAACAGAGGATAATGGTGGAAAGAGTATGAACCTGTGAGGGACAACAGCTTTAAGGAGATCACCGTCACGGAGATGAAGATGCCAATCATCAGGTTGAGTGATTGTGAGTTCCATTCTTGCTGATTTCACCTTCAATTTGTTCAAGCTCCTCTCAATCTTCAATTCCGGAGATTTCATTCCCTGAATTCACAAAACAGACATGCCCACCAAAACCATATCACATTTCACTATGACTACGACGAACAATAGCTATCAAACACGAAATAGATTCCCCTCATTCACCAGTAACCGGATTTTTCTGAAAATCTTATGCACCATCTTGCTTGCGTGAGAAATGGCCAAAGATTTCGAGCATCACATCCACTAACCGTCCACGAATAAACCGGATATACACAACAATTTGATGAAATGGAAGCCTAAGCAAGTTTTGGGTTTTAGGGTTTAAGCGAAAATGTCACGAAAAATCCAAAAATCCGTTCTTTTCACGATCTGGGTGACTCAAAGACTGAAACTTGAAACGGAAATCAGAGAAGAATGGAAGTACCCATAGCGAATTCTTCAGAAATGTGCTTCGGAAACAGAGTTGCCGATCGCCGATCGGCGAGGGTCGAACGTGAAGTTGCTGCGGCATCGACAGTCCTCCGCCGCCCGATGTCTCTCTTGTCCCCCAAAAAGACGATGAGCACGTGCGGCTTCAGTAACCCTCTTCATCATTCAGAGTTTTCCCCTTTTTTTTCCTAGTTATTTTCTTCTCTTTTGTGTGTTCTGTATTGGTCTCCAAATTTCGTTGTTGGGAACTTTTCCTATTATGAGTAACTTTAAAATACATTCGATTCGTTTTATTGATTTTCAATTTTATACGCCTATTTAATATCTTATAATACAGCAATCTCATTCAAACTATGATTAGATTAATGAGGTTATCGCTTATCTAACGACCATAACAATAATCATTATTATCAGAACTTCTTCGGCCAAATGAAATATGGACCGTCTATGAAATCGAAACCACAAGGAGAACAAATCCGTTCACGGAATTTAGAAATGAAACGCTGAAAATAATTCTGAACATTGGTCACGGGCTTCAGCTTGAAGTTTGTAAATTGTAATGGACCGACAACGGGTAACTTTTTATGTATACAGATGCATGCCTTGATGAACATCACAAACATTGGCCCATTCAAAAAAATCATAATTGGGAACATACCAAAACGAAAAATCCAACTCACCAAAAATAAATATCTATAAGAATATCAACGTCTTCGGAAATTAATAAATAAATAAAATATGGATTTTAGATTTGTTCATGTTCTAAAACTTCATAAAAGACAAAGTTTCAGATTTTTCCGAAATAATATTATACTTTACAATTTTTAAGAATATTATTTACCATTACACACCACTCTAGATTCATACTTTTTTTTTATAAATAATTAAATAAAGCTCAATTAATGAGTTGCGGGCTTATTCACAACAATATCAATTTTAAGGGTTGAGAATTTAAGTTCTAGTTTAAATTTTTTACTCGAATATATTAGATCCAGATAATTTTTTATTACTTATTTTATTTTAATAAAAAAAACTAATAAAGAAATAAACCATAATTCAATATATATATTTTACAACTAAGCAATAAATATATATTTTAAATCATATTCGTATACATATTCGTTTTATCAGTCCTTTCTATTTAATTGTTTCACGATGATTCATTTAAGTATATACGATGAGATATTATTAAACTTTTATAGAGAATGCTTCTACAAATATTGAAATTAAAATAAAAAAAAGGAGAATTTTCTTTTGCAGACACGTAATGTAAAGAAAAGAACAAAAAGGGTTCACGGGCTGAATTTCGATGAATCAAAATTATAAATGCTCATTAGGGACCATCCAACTCATTCGCGACACTAAGTACATGGTGACAAGAAAACTATAATGCCACCTTTTATGACAAAATAAAGCTGTAAAGTTTCAATTATATTTATTATATATATATATATTAATCAATTCGATAAAATTATATGACATATACTAAAAGGAGAGTAATGATTTAGAAAATGACAGAATGAGTTTTTGAGTGGTGATGATAAAGTTTCAAATTGAGATCTCATTTGAAATTTTAGAATCTATCATATCATAAATCCTTAAAGAGGATCACATGCAATGACGAGTTCGACTATGCTATTGTATTTCTTTCATTTGTGGCAGTATATATATATATATATATATATACACACATGGTGAAACTCGAAAGAAATTTTCTAAGACAACGTTCGAGCCATAATCTTAATGCAGATTTTAAATGGCTTCGACCGATAGCATGCAGGGGTTGGTTAAGGATTGTAATTTCATATGTTTATGGTGATACATTTAACGAAACAAACTCTACATTTACATCAAATTAATATCCATATCACACCCAAGATTGGTTGGTTCAATCCGTAAAAAGGGAGCAAATCTCGTTGCTAACCCTGGTTCGAGTCCTTATTTAGGGAGGAGAATTCATTGGACTTCTCTGATCCTATAGGAGATATAGTTGGACCAAATATTCGATAAATTTCTAGATTATCAAAAAAAATTTATGTCACTACAACGAGACTACAACGAGACTGTTTATATATCGAAGTGTCAATCTTCTAATTTGTTTTTGTTGTTTTGTTATTGTTTTATGTTTTTCTTGTCTCTTGTTCAACTGAATCAAACAAAAATCCTTTGATATTGAGATTAGAAAGGCTTCCAAATAAATAGATGATATCTAATGTGTTTTTTCGCTCGATTCTTTAATTAGTAATAATGATTCTAATATATGAAACTCAATAATCTTAATACATTAATTAATGTTTTGTTTATATTCTATATACGCGACATTCATTCAACATTTCAACACTCGTATCATGATTTTTTCTCGTTCATATGCATGTGCCCTCAGTCCATACGTGGTCTGGAATCTTTCGACTTTATTGGATGCAATGGTGACTGTTCTCTCAAGATGGAACATGACAAAATCTCTCTCTCTCTCTCTCTCTCTCTCTCTCTCTCTCTCTCTCTCTCTCTGCTTCGTTCTTCACTTTACATTACAGTATCATGTGTGGAGAAAAATATTTTTAATTTACGCGTACAAAAATGTCCCCTTCACAAATTCCCCGTTCACGGGCTGAACGTTTCTGCACTGTTAGACCATATATTATGAGATGTCATATCTCTGTAATTTTTTTTTTGTTACAAATCACATCATGCACATAAATCAGTGCCGGTAGATCCCGAAAGGCTAATTTTATTTTAGAGAATGCAAAGATCTCGGAAACTTCGATAGATATTTTTCTAGCAAGTTCTTGTAATACTCCCTCACCACCTCTTCTTGTCCTCCCTCTGTGTGTGTATACACATACTCTCTCCCTGAATGTATAATAAGCATGTCTTATCTCATACCTACCGTATATGGTGATCGTATGTTTTCTGTAAATATTCGTATTAACAGTAGAAAGGGAACAGAGAAAGCGTAGAGAAAGAAGGAGAGAGATGAGAGAAAGAGAGCTTGTCAAAATCATTTTCTGTGTATTATTCCTCAATGAACTGTTTACTTTAAATACAACTCGAGCATTTACATACACTCACACTTATACGCGCGTGTATACAGAAGCTATAGAAACTATAAATCTAATATGCCCTCCTCAAGTTTATTTCTCTCTGGTGGAAGAAATAAACTTGACAAGTGAAGCTTCTGGAGTAAATGCCGAAACACAGAAGGCTGTAACGCCTTTGTGAACAAGTCTGCCAACTGATTCTCAGTTTTAACATGCAACGTCTTTATCAAACCTTGCTGCAATTTCTCCCTCACCAAATGACAATCAATTTCTATGTGTTTGGTCCTCTCATGAAAAGCAGAATTTGATGCCAAGTACAAAGCAGACTTATTGTCACAGTAGAGATTTGTTGGGCGATGAAAGGGTACCTTCAGATCAGTGAGCAAATGATCCAGCCACACAATCTCGCAGGTCGTGTTCGCTAAGGCACGATATTCAGCCTCTGTACTGCTTCTTGAGATCGTATTTTGCTTCTTTGCCTTCCATGAAATCAATGAATCTCCAAGAAAGACACAGAAGCCAGTAACACTTCGCCTTGAATCCGGGCATGTTGCCCAATCTGCATCTCCAAAAGCATTTAGCCGTAATTCAGAATTGGTTGAATAAAACAACCCTTGACCTGGCTGATTTTTCAGATATCTAACAATACGATGTGCAGCCTTAAGATGCTCATCAGTAGGACAATGTAAAAACTGACTTAGCTTGTGGACTGGATAAGCTATGTCAGGCCTTGTTATTGTCAAGTAAAGTAACCTGCCAATCAAAGCTCTATAGCTTGTCGGGTCAGGAAGAGAATTCCCAGATTCTTTACTCAGATGTATGTTAGGATCCATAGGCACAGATGCAGGTTTACAGCCCATCAAACCTGTATCAGACAGCAATTCAAGGCAATACTTGCGCTGAGAAACAGAGATTCCATCTGAGTTTCGTGCAATTTCGAGCCCCAAAAAATACTTTAGTGGCCCTAAATCCTTGATGTTAAAGTGTGAGGCCAACAGCGTTTTCAGATTCTCCACCGAAGCTTGATCATTGCTGACAATTAGGATGTCATCCACATAAACCAACAAGGCCAAGAAAACTGAACCTTTGCACTTGATAAACAGAGTATGGTCTGCCTGTGACTGTGTAAAACCAGCATTGATCAAAACTGTCGAAAATTTTTGGTACCATTGCCTCGAAGCTTGCTTCAAGCCATACAGAGACTTGGTTAGCTTACAAACAGCATTTTGCGGCAAAGTTTCTCCCTGAGCAGGTGTATATCCAGGAGGTAATGTCATATATATGTCTTCATCAAGCTCACCATGCAAGAATGCATTTGTTACATCCATTTGGGTAAGTGTCCAATTCTGAATAGCAGCCAAGGCCAAAACCAACTTAACCGTAACTAATTTCGCTACTGGAGAAAAAGTATCAATATAATCGATACCCTCCTGTTGAGTATACCCCTTCGCCACTAACCTAGCTTTGTACCTTTCGATAGTGCCATCGGATTTCCTCTTGATCTTATATACCCACTTACAACCAACAGGAGTTTTCGACTGAGGTAGAGAAACAACCTTCCAAGTCTGATTTCCTATCAGAGCATTAATCTCAGTATCCATTGCCTTCTGCCAATGGGGGGAAAGAACAGCTTCTTTGAAAGATTTCGGTTCGGTTTCAGTGTTTAGGTTGAAAAGGTATTCTTTGTATTGAGGTGAAAGTTTATCATAGGTCACAAAAGATGAAAGAGGATAGGGAGTTGTCACTTTGACAGGTTCATGGTTTGTAGAATAGCAATGATACTGAGACAAATATCCAGGAACCTTGGTTTGTCTTTTGGGTCTGACATCATTTGAATCAGGTTGTAAAGGAATTTCGGTTTCAGGATGATTACCAGATTCTGAAACTACAGAATGTGTTTCAAGATCTGATAATAAGGGTGGATTTTCTGGTTCACTGGGCATTGGAATAGGCAAGGGTAAGATTGAATGAGGAAAAATGGAAGTGACAGATTCTGAAAGAGAATCTGTTAAGGATTTTGAAAGAAAGGGGAATATGTTTTCATGAAACTCCACATTCCTGGATATGTATACTTCGTTTGTTGCCAGATTTAGCAACTTATAACCTTTATACCCAGTAGGATATCCCAAAAAAACTGCTTCAGTAGCTCTGTAGGAAAACTTGTGTCTATCTTTCAGATATGTCGAGCTGTAGCAAAGACATCCAAAAGATCTCAGATGAGCATAATCAGGAGATTTACCTTGTAAGACTTCAAAAGGAGTCTTCTGATCCAGTAATGGCGAGGGGAGTCTGTTGACCAGATAAACTGCTGTCATCACACAATCACTCCAATAAGGCATGGGAACATTCGACTGAAACATCAGAGACCGTGCTACATTCAAGATGTGCTGATGTTTGCGCTCGACCACGGAGTTTTGCTGAGGCGTATACACACAAGAGAAATAATGCAGCATTCCTTTTTGTGCACACAGCTCAGAAAATGCCAATTCAGGGGCATTATCAGTTCGTATTGCTTTAATCACAGTCTGAAATTGATTCTCAATCAGAGTAACAAAAACCGGGAAGATATGCAACACATCACGTTTATTCTTAAGGAAATAGACCCAAGTTGCTCGGGAACAGTCATCTACTATGGTAAAAAAGTATTTATAGCCCTCAGTAGAGATTACAGAAAAAGGACCCCAAATGTCTAGATGAACTAGATCAAAAGGTTTCTGAGAGACATTGTTTCGAATGGGAAAAGGTAAACGCTTTTGTTTAGCTAGGTGACAAGTTTTACAATGAGAAAAATCGACACATTTGGACAGAGACAAGTGTGGGGATAGTGTTTTGAGACGAGGAAATGAAGGATGACCAAGCCTTTGATGCCAAACTTGAGAGTCTGCAACAACAGCATGGCAGAAATGGGAGGTAACTTCGGGTGAAAACTGCTGATCCAGAACATACAGGTTTTGCTGAAGATTAGCTTTGCCAATCATCCAACCCTGAGTACGGTCCTGAATAAAGCAAGTTTGGGACGTAAAAGAGACTTGTAAGTCTGGGTTTTTAAGTAGTGAAGGAATACTGAGGAGATTAAAAGAGAAGTTTGGTACAAATAGTACATCAAACAGGGTAAGAGAAGAGGTTAGAGCAACTGTTCCTGTAGAAGTAACCGTGATATGCTGCATATTTGGCAAAGTCACTAAGATTGGAGAAACAGATTTCAAAGCAGTGAATAAAGCAACATTGGAGCAAACATGTGTAGAAGCTCCAGAATCTATGATCCATGCATCTGCATTCAAGCCTCTGGAAGGAATAAAAGATGAACATATAACAGAGTCCAGATGATTATGATTACCAGAATATGCAGGCATGACATCTGGTGCTCCAGCAGAAGTAATAGTCGGTTGAGTAACAGTCAACTGTTGTGACAGTTGCTGAATGATCTGTTGAACTTGATCGTTGGACAATGAACTCACATCTAATTTCTGATCAGAAGACATTGGCTGAGTCTGTACTGATGCAACAAAACTTTGTACAGGTTGCTCAAACCGTGAATTAGACTGAAAAGGCTTAGCATATTGCCCTGAAGCGGGTTTGGGACCTTGAAAACTCTTCGCAACAGGTTGTCTGTATCCTGGCGGATAGCCATGAAGCTTGTAGCACTTATGGACAGTATGTCCATATAGTCCACAGTGAGTGCACAGAGGTCGTTGCTTCACTTTTACAGCCGCAACAGTTTCTGATTCCACAGAATTTGCAGAAGTCTGGAACACATGAGTGTCAGGAATACTCTGTGGTTTGATCAACTTCTGAGATTCATATTTGCATATGATGTTGTAAGTTCTTTCCAAATCCGGCATCGGATCCATCATGAGAATCTGCTCTCGAGGTGGCTCATATACATCATTAAGGCCAAACAAAAACTCAAGCACAAAATCTTCTTCACAGATCTCATACCATTTCTTATCAGCACGACAAGTGCATTTACCACACTGACAGTAAGGTGTAGTGCGTAAAGACTTGATTTCTTCCCAGATTATAATCATCTTCGTGTAGAAGTCAGCAACCTTCATCGATCCTTGACGCTGACTCCGCAATTCTCGCTTGATCTGAAACAACCGAGTAGCATTTTGCTGATGGAAACATTTTTGAAGATTTGACCACATTTCTCTCGCCGTGGTGTAATACAGAAGCCTTTGAGCAATGTTCTTGGACACCGAATTGACAATCCAAGAACAGACAACAAAGTTGTTGCGATTCCAGTGCTTCTGATTCGGATCTCCATCCGGAGGTTTCGGAAGACTACCATCAACATATCCAAACTTATTCCTACCTTCTAGAGCCATGACGATCGAACGACTCCAAGATCCATAATCTTCAGGACCAGAAAGGCGATCGGAACAAAGTTGAACTCCATTATGATCATTGTTCGAAAGATAATATGGATTATCATAAGAATCCATCGGAGAAAGCGAATCTGCCGATTCTGAAGCGGACGCCATTTTCCGGGAAATTGAACAAATTTTCCAGAGAAAATGGGATGAAAATTGCAAGAATGATCACGGATTTTCAAGAAAGAAAACCGGAAAAGTAAAATCAAAGGAAGAATTCGAAAGAATTAAGCGATACAGAGAAAAAAAATCTCTGATACCATATTAACAGTAGAAAGGGAACAGAGAAAGCGTAGAGAAAGAAGGAGAGAGATGAGAGAAAGAGAGCTTGTCAAAATCATTTTCTGTGTATTATTCCTCAATGAACTGTTTACTTTAAATACAACTCGAGCATTTACATACACTCACACTTATACGCGCGTGTATACAGAAGCTATAGAAACTATAAATCTAATAATTCGTATATACGCATGTGCATAATCCCTTGGCATGGGGCCAATTGCCTAAGGACGTACGAAACATTTTTGAAGAATGCTTGAGATATCTTTTCCGTAATTCGACCACGGTGTCCGAGACAGTTTCTTAGGAAATCTTATTTTCCCATGTAGGTTTTTAATATTCGTGGACCATATTTACTCGCTTCTTTACCATTTTCATTACATAATATCAATGGGTTTACCTTTTTATGATTACATAAACACTCGTAAGTTCACTAACAAAACAATATCCCAAAGAAAACAAATGATTTATTACTTCATAGAACAACCAATATTACAACAATACCCCAATGATATTAAAATGAAATAAAGAAACTGTGAACTATAGAATCGAAACGAACGGGCAGCACACATAACTAGACAGAGAATAAACGTGTTCAGACAACATAACTGGAAGATATGAAAAGAGAAGAAACAAATAAAGAAAGTGAATAGGACACCATGTAGAATATAACACCCCGATTCTCTTTCTACCTGAACAAGAGCACACACATGTATAACGCCAACTCTGTGTGTGTCCTTATTCGCATTGGAAACCCGGGGGAACCTTCTTGCTGCAAACGTTGAGAAGCAAGCTCAGTGAAATGGGGAGGTTCAAGTTTATTCCGAGGATGTTAGCCTTAAGGGCGGTGCAGAGACAGGCGGCAGCTTCAACGTCAGCAAGTCCTTGGATAAGGGTGCAACAGGGTTCGACCGGAGGTTGACCAAGGGTCACGTTTAGGAGACCATTGAGCACGTTGGCACAGACACCGAGCTTCAAGGCGTCCTTAGGGCACTTGGCCTGAGCGGGGCTAGGGCTAGGGCTAGGCTTTGGCTTCGGCTTCGGCTTCGGCTTGGGAGAGGGGCAACCACTGCCGCAGGGGCTGCAGCTGTTGCAAGCAGAGGTTAGTGTGAAGAAGAGGAGGTTCAGAAGGAGAAAGATTGCCAAAGAGCTTGTGGTTTTTGACGCCATCTCTTTTTTTTTCCCCCGCTTATTGTTATTGAAGAATCAATCACTTGATATTCTTCTCTGTTGGTTTTTGTGTATTGGGATGAGAGGTTGGGGTGGGGTTTTATAGGGGCTTGGTAAGGAAGCTCCGAGATGGTTCATGAGGTTATGCGGGCAATACTTGTATTATAAAACCATGCATGATTTATTCATTATTGTTTTCTTATCGATTTGTTTACTGGTGCTGTAAATGTTCCATGTATAGGGCTGAATTAGTAAATTTAAAAAAAACTAAACTTTGTTCAATATTTACGGAATAAAACCTTTTATTATTCATTCAATCAAATAATATATATATATATATATATATATATATATATATATATATATATATATATAT